TGTGTGAGAGAAGTGTAGAAACGTGGGAGCATGTATGGGAGGAATGTAGGAGTTGGAAGGAGGGAGGAGTTGGAGGGTGGCAAGAAGTGTGTGGGACTATATTGGGGGAAGAGGGGGAGGGGGAGGATTGGATGAGGGAAGTAGAGAAAGAGAGAGAAGGATGGAGAGGAGAGGGTGGAGGTGGAGTGGATGGGTGTATGAGTGAAAAGAATGAAAGGAAAGAGTGAGAAAGGTGACTGGAAACGGAAGTCCGAGGGGAGGCGAGGATGGGTGGATGAGAGGGGGGATGGGATGGAGAGGGGGGTGGTGGGGGGAGCGTACGAATGGGAAAACGGGCGAGCGTGCGAGCGGTGGAGCGTGCGAGCGTGCGAGCGTGCGAGCGTGCGGATTGGGCGTAGCGTGGATTATAGTATAAGCATAGCTTAAGTATAGGTTAAGTAGCATGTAAGAAGTCTGTAATTTGAAATTGTAACCCCGAGGGGAATCAATAAATATTATCTAATCGTACATAGTACCTGAAAATGGCCAATATCTTGAACATTGGAAGTGAACCAATCTTTGATGACAGCATCGTCAAGATTGAGACTCACACGTACAATCCGTACGCCAACGCCACGTTTGGATACAGCAATGAAATACGAATTCCCATACTACAGTAAGATTTAGACACATTACCATGCGAAAGTTTTCTCTACGTTGAAGGAAAATTAGTGATAAAGAAAAAGAACAATGAGTCGGTGACAACGCTTGCAAATAATTGCGTGACGTTCATGTTTAATAAAATTTGATACGAACTCAGTGGCGTGGAGATTGATCGCAATAGATACGTTGAAATAACTACTACTGTCAAGAACTATTTATCGCTAATGTATGCTACAATTTTACATAATACAGGATGGGCCTTTAAATCATACATATCTGAAGGATACTTTAACTTTTGCGTGCCGCTCAACATGTTGTTAGACTATTGCGAGGATTACAAACGTGTGGTTGTTAACGCTTGGCACGAATTGATTTTGATACAAGCGCGCAGCGATAACAATTGTCTTGTGGGGATTCGCGATTTTTTATCCGTAAATTCTATTTTTCTTGGCCTAAAATGTAAATCGTATCTTGAAACTGAATGTGTCGAATTCCTTACAGAAGTAAAATCTAAATGCTTAAATTTTTACACAACCGCGTTAGAAGCAATGTTGCAACGATTACCATATAACGATAAAATCTGCCGCGAATTTAAATTTTTAGATTCTGAAGTGGCTCTGCGCGAAGAAAGTAGATTGATCTTTGCAGATTTAAGAAATTTAGCAAAACATTTTGGCATATCGGACATTACGATCTTAGCTTATGAATGGAGAATTTTACCTATAGTATTTAATGACACGGATAAAAAATTTTTAATTAATTTAGAAATTGATGAAATGTGGAAGACTATTTTTAAGAAGAAAGATTTTAATGATGAGCCGTATTTTCCAAATTTAGAAAAATTAGTATATGCCGCTTTGTCACTTCCACATTCTAATGCCAAAGCAGAGAGAACATTTTCTATTGTCACTGATGTCAGGAATAAAATGAGAAACCGTATTAGTGTCACTTGTTTATATTCAATTTGTAAAATACATTCAAGTTTTCAAACTTATAAATTTAGATTGCTGCAGTATCCAAGTTGATTCTAAACACTTGAAATTGCATAAAGAATCTAATTTCCACTAAATTGAACGACAGTTACACTGTTAAAACAAATGAGGATGATAGGAGGGTCATAGCTTTCCCTTACATAAAAAATGCGTCAGAAATTGTTGCCTCGGCTATAAATAAGAGTTTTTAGTTGGGTTCAGATGTCTCAATAAGTTGAATAAACTAATAAAGAGACATAAAGACAGGATCTCTACTGATTCTAATAATAATGCAGTGTATAGAATTAATTGTAACGATTGCGACGCCACATATGTGGGACAGACTAAGAGAAAGTTGAAAAAGATAATTTTGGAACATAGGAGAAATATTCTTTTGGATGATTTGAAGCACTCGGTAATTACGAACCACATATTAGAATCGAGACATACGTTGGATTGGGAACATGCGACAATTCTCGATTCAGAACCTAATTATCACAAACGTCTTGTTTCCGAAATGATCTATATCAAAGCGCAAAAAAATGGTCTTAATTCTAATGAAGATACCGAGATGCTAGATGAGACATATTTCAGCTTGTTAGACAGAATTGTAAATGAATTTTTATGTTTGTCTCCACGACATTTACATCGTATAAACAA